GCGAGAAGAGGGTTTTATTCCACCTACTTCCTCGCGTGACCAAAGGGCCGGAGGGTTCAGACCCATTCTGAATCTCAGAGGGCTGAACAAATTACTGGAGGTGCGATCTTTCAGGATGGAGACACTCAGGTCAGTGATCTCCTCCGTCGAGACAGGGGATTGGCTTACGTCAATCGATCTCAAAGGCGCGATACCTCCATGTTCCAATGCACCCGAATTCAAGAAGTACCTCCGGTTCTCCTTCGGACGGGGACGTGCTACCAGTTTCAGCGTGCTCCCCTTAGGCATCTCCACGGCCAAGGGTGTTCACCAAACTTATGCTAATCCCAGCTCAGTTAGCCAGGTCTCGGGGCAGGTGTTGTCACCCGTACCTGGAGGATTGGCTTCTCACGGGCCTTAGGGCCTCAGTTAAGCAGAGCCTCCCACACTGTGCGTGCTGGATACTCTGGTGTCACTGGGCTGGATTATCAATCTCAAGAAATCAGACCTCGTTCCGCGCAGGATCTGATATTCTTGGGAGCCAGATTCAACACTGGCGCTAGAAGTTGTTTCCCTTGCTCCGGACGCATCGTCAAAGTCCGGGGACTGTGTTACAGTTCCTCCAGTACCCCATTGCGTCGGCCGAACATGGCCCGGTTGCTCCGGCAACATGGCGGCGACAGTGGACATGGTTTGGCGGCTTGGCGTTTGAGGATGCGACCAATTCAGCAAGCATTAGCTCAGCTGTGGTCCCACTTCGCAGGGCTCACGAGATTATGCTCATAGCGCCAGAGTGGTTAATCCCTCACTTGGCGATGGTGGGCCGGGCGTGAGGAATTTGTCCAGGGGATCCCCTCGACACCCGACACCTTCCCTCTCAGTTCAGGCGGACGCCTCCCCTCACAGGTTGGGGTCCTGGGCGAGCACTCAGCCTCCGGCCTCTGGTCGGAGCGGATCAGCCTACACATCAATGTGTTAGAACTGAGAGCAGTCCGCCAAGGTGTTCGAGTGCTTCAGGGTGTTGGTGCAGGGCCGTGTGGTTCGTCTAGAAATGGACAATCAAGCGGCCATGTCTTACATTCTCAAGCAAAGGCGGCACAGTGTCTCCGTCGGCTCCTTCAGGAGGCGTGGCAGTTTCTACTGTGGTGCGATCAGTTCAACATTCGGGTTTTGCCTGTTTATCTCCGGGGTAGACAATGTCCGTGCAGATGCTCTCTCACGCGGTATACTAGCCCCCACAGTGGATGCTCGACGGGAGATATTCGGGATTATCGCCCAGTTGTTCCCGGGTCGTTCCAGGTGGATCTGTTTGCGTCTGGGGTGGCGAACCAGATTCCTGTGTTTTGCTCCGGATTCGGATCGAGGTGCGTTAATAGCAGCGCCTTTCAGCTAGATTGGGCCGGACAGGGTACTGTGGGCGTTCCCCGATACCACTGATTTCCAGGGTCCTGTCGCAGCTGACCGCTGTCAACCAGCTTCGGCTACTTGTGCTTCTGGCACCTTTGATGGTCGGCACAAAGCTGGTTTCGGTAATTCTCAGGTTTCTGGCTCAGCCTCCTGTTCTATTACCTTTTTAGGCCGGACCTCCTATCCCAGAGCGGGCCCACCGAATCCAGGATTCAGTGGGTGGCTTAGCCGCTATCGGGATAAGCCTCCATGCTTGCGGAATTCCTGCAGTTGCAGACACAATTCTGGCTGGCGGAGGGATTCGACAAACGTTCAATATGAGGATAGATGGGCCTGTTATTGGCGCTGAATTATTGTCAACAGGGGATTCTTGATCCCTTTTCTACAGATTTAGTCTGTGTGTTGGAATTCCTCCAGTCTCGGTTGGAAGCGGTCTGGCGGCTTCCACTGTTCGAGGATATTCTACGGCTATTTCTGCGTTTCATATTCCTGTTGACGGTGCTCTCTTGGGGCAGCACCCTCTTATTACAGCAGCTTTTAGCAGCGTGGACAGAATCCGTCCGGTTGTCCGGCCGGATTAGTCCCCGATGGGACTTGTCAATGGATTCTTGATTGGCTGTCGGTCCACTGTTTCACAATCTGTCGGCTCTTTCCTCCAACTGTTGGCGTGGAAGGCGGCGTTTCTTGTGGCGGTGACTTCTGGCGAAGCGGGTTGGCGATATTCATGCAATGTCGGCCGATCCAGCTTACTGTTTTCACAAAGACAGAGTTAGCATCCGACTGCCTGGAGACTTACCGTCCTAAGAAGGATAGTCCCTTCCATGTGGCCATTTCTATTGAGCTCCCAGCTTTCACTCAGCCTTCCTGTCCGGTACCTCTCTCTGGCGTGCTCCACGGCTTAGATGTCAATGGAACACTTCGGAGGCTTATATCAAAGCGAACAAGGGTACCCGTAACGGTAACCAATTGTTTTGTTGTTATGGCGGGGTTCAGGCTGGTCTTCCGGCGACCAAGCAGACCATTTCTCGGTGAAGCTTGTCTCTGCCATACATATGAGTTATACTCAAACAGAGTATCCCGCCTGTTGGGTTGAAAGCTCATTCGGTTAGGGCAGTGGCTACATCGACAACTGCGCTGCAGCCCTGCCCATTGAGGAGATCTGCTCAGCGGCTATTTGGAGCCGTCCAGTGCGTTCATCCGTCATTACCAACTTGACAGACTCTCCAGTGGCGTGCTCGGTTCGTCAGTCAGTTCTCTCCAGTGGGCATGGTTCCACCTCTCTAGCCGATTGAGCTTTCGAGGTTTTTAAAAAACATTATTGTGTGAACCATTATCTGCCAATTTTTAACACTGGTGTTGGGTTTTACAAATCTTGTTACATTTTTCCCTTGGTGATGGGTTTTATGTGGTGCTGGTTTTTTATTCCCATGTCTCTTGCTTTCTAACCGAGAAGCTCTAGACTAAACTGCCCTTGGAAACTTTGCTGTTCATATTCGGCATTTCGTTTCTGGGTTTATTAGCGGGACCCTTATCTTCACTTCCGAGTAGATTACGGGAAGGAGGAGGGTGTCTCGCTCGATTAAGTTGCATTAGCGAGGTTTTAGCTGGACAAATTTGCATCGTTTTACTCCCTGGTTCCTGGCTCATGCCCCCGCCTGATTGGCTTTGGTGGACACGTGACCGGGTAAGTGTGCCTTTTCTGCTATAATTAGCTTGGGAAATTCCACTTCTTGTGGGGTGTTTAAGCAGACAGAATGCATCCTGAGATCCGTCTTTAGGAGTCTGTCTTATGCTTATAAGTACCCAAGGAGGAATATATAAAAAGAATCGAACTAACCTGTAGAGGTTTAAGATTCTTTGAATATATTCCTCCTTGGGGTAAATCCACCACCTCCCCGCATTCTGTCTGACTTCGTTCAGCATGGAAAGTGAGATGCGGTTACGGTCTGCAATCTAGAGTTACCTGCTCTTGGCTGTAGGGGCCGGAAGGCCCTGTAAGGGTGGTCTCACAAGACAAAGCGTAGTTTTGTTTTGTAAATATTTTATTCAAATATTGTTACAACTGTCGAGGGAATTTAAAATGGACATTTAAATGCTTATAAGTACCCCAAGGAGGAATATATTCAAAGTTTTACCCTGGATAACCCAAGCTGCCTGTGAGGCGTTAGAAGGTTATAGTCACATGACTTATCCCACTGGGTACTCATTTTCTTCTGGGTGAAAAGAGGCATTTTTTTTAACAAACAGGACAGCTTTACTTGACATAAAGCCGAAGTACGTTTCCATCTTACCTACCAACCCTAATTGTATAACTGATGTAATCAGAAACCACTACATTTTGTCTCTGGAGCCTAAGAGGTGAGGTGAGGTGAAATTGGGTTTAACGTCGTGCTTGAGAATATTTCGCTTATATAACGACGTGCATGCGTGTGTATGTGTATGTGTATGTGCCACTGCTTGTACTAGCCCAGACTTAAGCTGGTTTTATAGTGCTAGCCCACTGAGATACCATGCCGCAGTTAAGCATGAATACCCCACTCAGACACATTATACTCACTCCGAGCCGACCAGTCCTTGTTGTACCCATTAATGCCGAGAGCCAGGCAGGGACCAACAAGTAGCATATTTTAACGTCTTTTGGTATGACGCGGTCAGGGATCGAGCCCGCAACCTTCCGCTCTCCGGGCGGACGGTCTAAACACTACACCACGGAGGCTGCCCTGTAGCCTAAGACAGTAAAACATCAGTAAAGCTTCCATGATCCGATCAGATCTCGGCATAGGCTTCTCGCGATATCTTGGTTCCTGGCATTTTTTTTCTATATTCATATACCCGCATATCTCTAATTGCAGTGCACTTCAACCGGGCACTTTTTGTCTTCCGCACTAAATTTGTGTGAAACTCTAACTTTTTGGTGGCTGTGGGAGCCGAATTAGTCATTGGAGGCTCCTAGGTATGGTGTACCTATGCGTCTCAGAACTGTCATTCCCTATACTACTCCTCAAAGCTTGGGTTGTTTGTTCCCTAGAGGGCTGAGATTGAAATCTGAGTGCACATAGTTACAAAGACAAGGTAGAAAATAATGTAGAAAATAATGTAGCTGCGTATCCGGGTAAAATCACATATAAAATTTCCAATTACGCATTGAAAAGTAATTGTTGCATACCAACCACGATTTAAAATGTTAGATAATGCATAAAGTTTTAAAAAAAATGCGTACGGAATATATTTATAAAAATCGCTTGCGTTTTGAAAAAGACATCGATTGCTATCAAGTTGTACTGTTAGTATAGGACAAGTGCTGTACTGTCCATTTAGGATGAGTGATTTTTTATGAACTCATTTCCATTATATTTAAGTTGGTTTTGATTAGGTATGACATAGTCATAAGGCAGAACATACCTGCTTAGTAAACTTACTCAGTCACATAATACTTAGGTGAGTAAAATGACTGAAATACGCACATGTTTGAAAGCAGTGGGTAACAGAAAATGAAATACCCACTCAACATTCATAATACCCACTCCAAAAATACAGTGGGTACAGTACCCACATGAGCTAAATCTTATCTGGAGCTCTGATAATAAATGATCTTACCATTTCGACCCTTTCAGCCATTACATTTCCCAACTGCAGCCAGGGGAGGCAACTCTCAGTGATCCTCAGACGGGCATGTTGTGTCTGAGTCAGTTCACGGACAAGTTCTACTACAGAGCCAAAGTCATCGAAGTCCGAGGTACGACTTATTTCTTGGATTATCTGATTGGTCCGCAGTGTTGAAACATGGCTTACAGTCAATATCAGTGGATTTGTTAGTGCAATTGGCACACATCCAGCTCATAATGCATGACAAGATTTGTCCATGCTTTGGATAAATGAGTTCATATCATCTTTTGTATGTTTGTAATACAATGTAAGAGTGAGAATTCAAGCTGCGTTGACCAATGTATGAATTTATTTTGATAATTCACTGGCCAGGAGGGCTAGTTAAGTACAAATGTTGCTGGCCCACATCATACTTCACTGGACCTGCAAAATATCAGTATCAAAAAGCAAATTGGTCAGAATTGGTGTGATGATTGGTAATAAAAGATTTTAAGTTATTGTCGCCCCTTGGAAACAATATGTTTCAAATATGATAGTATTTAATGAACCTTTTTGCAGACAGATTTTTAACACCTTAAAAATTGACTTGATCACCTCACCTCACCTCACCTCACCTCACCTCACTGTATTGCAGTCAATGAGGCTGACATGGACTGTAACGTCATCTACGTGGACTATGGCAACTACGAGTGCGTCAAGCCATCCTCGCTGCTGCAGCTGCCAGCCAGTCTCTCCACCCTGCCGTCACAAGCTATATTCTGCTCCCTCTCAGGGGTAAGTGCATCGTTCACTTTAAACAAATATAATGTCATAATTAACGTTTTGAGTCATCATGACGCAAAATAGATTAAGGCTCTTAAATCATTAAGCCGAATAAAAGACATACTGTCTAGATGCATGTGACATTCAGCTGGCATTATTGTGGACATCCATGTTCTTTGCAAGTACCAGATCCTCATTTCACAATGTTCTCGTAAGCCTAAGATCCCGTAGCTTTTCTCATAGCATTCGTACCTCCTATACTGTAACATTGGAGGTACGAACTCTGTGAGAAAAGCTACGAGATTTAAGGCTTACGAGAACTTTGTGAAACGGGGACCCAGGGCGGTATAGTAGCCTAGTGGTTAAAGCATTCGCTCTTCACGCCGAAGACCCGGGTTCGATTCCCCACATGGGTACAATGTGTGAAGCCCATTTCTGTGTCCCCTGCCGTGATATTGCAGAAATATTGCTAAAAGCGGTGTAAAACTATACTCACTCACTTTGCAAGAACCACCTCAAATCAATGACGACCATCCTCCATGTTCAAATGTTTGGGTTGTCTGAAATAGGAAAGTTAAGGTCTCGTGAATGTGTGTTAGTTGCTCCACATTGTAAATGAATATGTGTTGCAATAAGTATTGATATACAGTGTGTGACAAAACCATGTGAGTCTTCTTCCCGGAAATGGGATCTTGGTGTTGTTTTTCGCACATTGAATCAGGGTTTTACATAGCTCTTCGAAACCTGGAGTCCTGGGAACTCAGGGCATATTTTTGGAGAGTCCATTTCCAAAATTTGGGGTCCATCAATTTGCATGAAATCAATGATTATGGATGCTTCCTCTTTGATAATGACTGTTATAATATGTGTTACTTTCAATGTCATTAGAATAATGATTGTAAACAGAATGTTTATATTTTAATATGGGATATAATTACAAATTTAGAGGTTATTTCCCAGAAAAAATATATTATTGCCTGCACGAGGACCCACAGGATTTTAGTTTGGGGGTACTTCATCAAATTTCTGCGTCTAATGTGCAGGAATCATGTGTCCCATAAAACCCTGACATTGTAGAGTTTTCACATGCACAATGTTAACTGAGCTTACTAGATCAAACTGAAAGCATGTATCTTGACTGGGGCTTCAGAATATCTGCTAAATTTGCAGACCTATACATGAAGAAGTCGATTTTTGCCTTCCCTGGGAGTCACCATCTTCAGGCGTAGTATTTTAGGACCAAATCACAGGATTTGCTATTGGAGCTAGTGATGATATGTCTCATCAGTTCCAAACTTAATATTTTTCTTTCATTTCTAAATTTACAGCTTAAAGATAGTATGTATAACTATTGTTTCAGCTGTGCCCAGTCAACAAGCTGGGTGTCTGGACGGAAGATGAAGTGAACGGTTTTCGTCAGTTTGTGAATGGTCAACAGCTGAACTGCAAGGCGACATTTGTCAGTCCCTACCAGACTCTTTCATTCCCACACCTGGTTGAGCTGCAGCTCACGATCCCACAGACAGACAAAGACGGCTGTGTGCTTCTCAGTCAGCTCAATCTGGCAGCCCTGCTGGTGAGGCAGAACCTAGCCAGACCCATCCCTGTGTCAGAACAGATCGCTAAATTACAGAACCTGTTTGGTGACCTTCCTGTTCCAGGGTCGAAACAATCGTCACCACGGAAACCGATGAAGAAGGAACAGGAGTCAAAGATTCCAGAAAAGAAGGCGCCGGATGTGATTGTAGAGAGCAGTACTGTTGTGAATCTTGATTCCGTAGATAATCCCAGCTCGGGTGATGCAACAAGACTTAGTACATATTGTTCAGATGAATCTGTCGAAGGTGCTGTTCAAGATAATGCAGGTAGGAAAGGAACCAGAGTTAAAGGTAAATCAGTGCCGCAGTCTCCCAGGACTGAATTGTCGGCTCCTTCCATATCAGACTCAAAGAAATATTCCAAGAAGAATCATTCCAAACCAACTCAGGATAAATGTTCACCTTCAAACCTGTTGTCTAGTGATCCAACCAATGAGAAATCTGAAACCGAATCTCCAACAAAGTCACAGACATCAAGCTGTATGGAAGGGGAGACAACTTCTTCCGGCGTGACAGATCTTAGTCTGAATCCATTATCTGTAGATTTATCCAGTGGCCAGACTGAAGAATATGAGGTCATGATGGCCCAAATCAACTCCCCCAACGATTTCTTCGTCCACAAGATGACTGAAGATGTAGGGAAAGACATTGGACAGGCTGATGAAAGATCTGAATCTCCACTTCGAACGAATGTCCCGAAAGAATTTATACAAACTCTACCGTAAGTTTTCTCCTCAGTGTAGAAGCTTATGTTGTGCACAGTTCTCCCATGACAACAACTTTTACAGGGCAATGATCCTAGAGATAACGGAGGTAGGCGATTCCTATTCCAGAAGTAAAACTGACAGAATAGATAAGATCTGTGTTTTCTATGTTGACTTTGGGGATGAGGAATGGTTGCCGAAGAATAAAGTGTTCCCATTGCCGGAGGAGTTTTCCACGTTACCGCCGCTCACGCTTTGGTGCTCACTGGCACACGTTCAACCAGTGGACGGTGACTGGACAGAGGAGAGTCTTCAAGACTTCCATAGGCTTGCAGGGGTTGAGCAGCGGCTATCATTGGTTGTGACTGAAGGGCGAATGCCAGAATGTAACAGGTGAAGAAATAGCTGTCTCTAATGTATTATGGTTGTGCATTAATGCCTAGTGTTTCGATGTTAACTTTCTGCAGGCCATCTGTTTTATATTCAGGAGTAGACACTGTGGGTCAAATCTACTTGGACTACCAGACTAGTTGTGGTTGAATAGCCTAGTGGTTAAAGTGTTGGCCCATCACGCTGAAGACCCGGGTTTGATTCCCCACATGGGTACAATATGTGAAGCCCTGGTGTCCCCTGTCGTGATATTGCTGGAATTTTGCTAAAAGCAATAGAAATCCAAACTCACTCACTCACTCACTCATCCTAGTGGGGTTGTGTACTTGTAAATATATACAATTATATTTTTTACGATACATATTGTGATGTCTTGGTAGGTAAAGTGATTGACAGGGACACTATTTGTGAGCGCAGATCCTTTTTTCTACATCCTAAAGCCCTAAAAATGTATGTTATTGTTCTGATAACAATCTCAAAATTAGGCTGGATTGTTAGGGATTCTTTCTTCCTGTTTTATGCTATTTATAGTATGCAAAGTATGCCATTATATTAAGACCAAAAAAAAAAATGTTGTGGTTCGAATACATCTCTTTAAAATTTATTTTTTTTTACATATTTTTTTTCGACGTAAAGTATAAACTAATAACACATTTATCAATGTGTAATTGTTTATTTAATCATGCTTGTGACCATCATGTCAACTTTTCTCTATCAGAATGACCGATGTCTGTCGGTGCTGAGAAAAAACAATGGTATCTGAAAGCGTATTTTATTCATACCGCTTAAAAAAATCGGAACCACAGCATGTTTTTTTAGGCCTAATTACAAAGGGAAATAGTTGAGAATGGAAGTCTCTGTAGATTTTAACTTAAGCCATAGACATGATCATGAAACGTGTTACATTCTTTTCTCCAAATATAACTCCGATCAGATATGGCCATATGTATTGTTTAGAAAGTGTATTGCAGTATACTGCTATAGCGGTAATATAGTGATTTGAGTGAGTGAGTGAGTATGGTTTTACCCTGCTTTTAGCAATATTCCAGCAATCTCACAGCAGGGCACACCAGAAATGAGCTTCACACATTGTACCTATGTTGGGTATCGAACTTGGTCTTTGGCATAACAAGCGAATGCTTTAACCACTAGTCTATCCCACCGAACCTGGTAATACAGTGCAGGCCTCGTTCCTAGATCATCTATGAGTGATGATCCAGTTTATTATCCCCCGCAACTTCGTTGTTGGATATAGATATAGAAACGATTTTCCGTCCGTCCGTGCGTCCGTCACACTTTGTCCAAAGCATATCTCCCAAACTATTCGTGATAGCTTAATCAAACTTGGTCCATATGTCAACCATGATCCCTAGATGTGCCTTTGGGTTGTTAGACCCAGATATGAATGTCATATTTTGCTGTTTCCATGGAAACATAAAACGTGACTATGAGGATGTCATCTTGTTGCATTCCCATGGCAACAAGTTAGGCTTCAACTGAATTTGGTGGTAGTGCTCCTTTCTGGAGCAGATCTTAAAAACCTTTCAATACTCTCCTTCCACTTTGCTATATGCACTCCAAAACATCTGACATAATTTTGATGACTTTGTCTTCTTGTTGTGTCTGTATTTGATCATCGGTGGGGTAGCCTGGTGGTTAAAGCATTCATTCGTCACGCCGAAGACCCGGGTTCGATTCCCATATGGGTACAATGTGTGAAGCCCATTTCTGGTGTCCCCCGCCGTGATATTGCTGGAATATTGCTAAAACCGGCGTAAAACCACACTCACTCACTCACTGATTCATGCCGCACCTTGTGTGATGTCCTCTCACTTAACCAGATTCTGTCAAAACAGGTCTCTCACGTAGCCAGAGTGGGATTTGGCAGACATGGATTAGTCAGATTAGCCATAGTTTGTTTCAACAAAATGCTCAATTAGTGAGAGTGAAATTTGTATTAGCAGCACAAACATTTAAACCTCTGGTTTCAAAAAGACGCAAATTGGACTGCACAAATAAATTCTGTACGTGATAACGTTTCACCAATGATAAATCGTTGAAGGAGTTACAAATACCGATTATCAAGAAAAATTATTTTTACCCAGTACTTTTGAAGTTTGGAATTCTTGGCTTGAAGAACTCAGACTTATACAATAACCAAGTGATTTAAACGATGTTTATTGTTCAATAGAGCATGTGCATATAATACATTAACAAAATGGAGTGGATTGGCAAACAAGCCTGTGGCTTATATCAATGCCTTTCCACATGGTGCAGAATATACAATGAGGGTACACTACATATTGCAATATATTAAGACAAATATACACAACAAACATAAAACATTCTAGAGCATGGAAGATCAATTTTAAATACGAAATGATAGTAGATGTTAGATGTGCGGAATCAAGTGAAATATTACAAGTTTTCTTAACGTGCACTTTTTTTTAGTGAAATAATAACTTAGGTGGCGACAGGGAAAAGTGTCTTCTTATTCAATGTTAAAGATTATCATCGCAACAGGAAAGAATAAAACTTGGAAAGAAACTTGTTGAGCAGAATAAAATGGATCTTGTCATGCAGGAAATCGCTCAGTTGCTGTAATATATTGAATAACGGACTCAATAATTTGTAAAGCGTCTTGTTTAGATGCACCTTTCCCATGTAGGATATCTGTGATACTTATATTATGTGTAAAGAAATATTTATCTTTGCGTATGTGTTGGTATACTGCGCAGGTAATGTAATAATAGACATCTTCGGTTGGATGGCCACATTGGCATGAAGGATTTTCAACTATGAATCTTCAGATCTCTCTCTGGGGTGTACGTTACCTGCCTTTAAGTCTCTTGAAGGCTAACAGTCAAATTAGTATTTCATTCTACCGGGTACCCACTGATTGCTGGATACTGAGCAGTAGAGTCAGATTAATGCTTATCCTCTGTATCTGGTACTAGGGCCCGGTTGTTCAACACTCGGTTATCTTAACCGCTGGTTAACTCCTAATGGCCAGTTAAATCCTTAACCGGCCGTTAGGTAACCGAACGTTAAATATGCGTTGTTCAAAACATGGTTAGTCATGCCGTTAGCTAACGTCGCCATCAAAGTTTAACAGTGTGGTTAACGTCACTGGTTAGCTTCCATATATCCCACAATTCCGTTTTCTGTTTCATTCCGGATTACCAAAAATGGAATCGCAAAATGTCACCTGCACCCCAAGGAAAAAGAGAAGTCGAAATGTCTTTGCTGACGATGAGAATGTAATCCAGTCAATGGTTGAGACCAACTCTATAGTTTATCATAGGCATGCGTAATGTCGAGCGCGCTCTGGCAGCTTAACGCTTGTATTGGAACACAAGGTTCCAGACGTTTGCATACATATTTCAAAGACATATGATCCCAGCTCTGTGTGGGACTTACTTCAATTCGACAACAGAAAAGACATTTTAATGAGAAACTATACCACAGCTATAGATAATATATGATGAATCCATGAAAATACATGTAATATTAATACTAGAAGCATGTTTTCAGTGGATAGAATATTTACAAATATTACACACAGGAGTTACGCTTAGACGGCTGCAGTCTTAATGAATCTTTGAATTCCCACAAGACCTATCGCTCACTTTTCACTCCTTAAATTGTCATGACTGTATGGCCAAGTCATTAAGATGCTATCAATATCATTTATTAATTATTTGCCAAGTCTGTCAAAAATTGTAATGTATGAACACACATTGCCAAATCTTTTAACATCAAACAATATAGATGTTGTGACAATAATACCATTAGCTTTTATCTGAAATATGCATTCAATGCCAATAGAAACTTAATATGTTACTAGCACCACGTGCAAGTAATCAAACTGTAATTGTACTATAGGCCCCAGGGCCAACACTGCTGAATTTAATCGATCTATTATTCGACCTTACTGTTGACAGGAATCTCATGAATAAAATTGTGCAATATCGTCATTATCTGAACGCCTTCACAAACGCATATTCCGGAAAGATGTCTTGAAAAACATGAAGCTGCGTTATAGATGAACATAATTTCCTCGATCCTCATTAATCAGATGAACCTTCATTTAGTTCAATTCACAAGTGACTGCAGAAAGTGCATAATTCTTTTTAATGACTTAAAAAACAGGTCGGAAAACATGTTGCATATTTCATCAGTGCATTATAGAACGCTGTAGTAGATGAACATAATTTCCTCGATACTCATTGATCAGATGAACCTCCATTTAGTTCAATTCACAAGTGACTATAGAAAATGCATAGATAGTTCTTTTCAATTTCTTCAAGGACGGAAAACATGTATTATATTTCATAAGTGTATTATAGAACGCTGCAACGATTCGGCAGAGAAATACTATTGTGCCATTGTATTCCTTATATAAAATACATCAGTGTATAACATTAGCTCAGATATTGTTATAAAATAAGTTTAAAATTCCAAACATTATCGTGTAAAATGACAAGAGATAGTGTTGTGTTAAAGCTGTGACAAAAAGGGTTTGATATTCAAATATAAAATTTAATCAAAGTGACTCACGAAGTGAGGCCTGCATATCACTCATAACTCACAACGTTTTGCGAAGGCCGGTATTGAGATGCCAATTACATCACATATATTTCATATTCAGCGGTGACAAATGCATCACTGAATTCTAAGGCTGGGGACGGGTACTCACGATTACTCGAATCCGGTCGGTACAGCTGGAATCGAGTCCTATTTCTAGGAATCTGGTACCGGAAAGGGAGAGCTCTGTAATGACAAGGGCAGACAGCCCTTGAGACATTTGCATGAAGTGTTTGGCATGGTGTTGTTGTAAGTCCAATAATACTGACAGGAACTTAAACAGTCTCAGCCCAAAGATTGCTTTGTGCAATAGGGTGAGTGAGTGAGTGAGTTTAATTTTACGCCGCATTCAGCAATATTCCAGCTATATGGCGTCGGTCTGTAAATAATCGAGTCTGGACCAGACAATCCAG